TTATTAATTTGCGAATGAAGAAAGAACCAAACGTTAATATATACAAGGTGCGTTGCAAAGTAAACAGGACTTTTTGAATCTAGCGCCCCTGGTTAGAATCTGCTATCTTTATCCAGTGAGAATTTCATGACATTTCATGGATTGGAAGTGAAATTATTGCGTTTTAAGTGTCAGTACGTTTGTGTTATCAGTGCAAAAATGAGCTTCGAAAAAAAAGCGCACATTAAATTTTGTTTACAAATTGGTAAAACTTTTACCGAAACGTTTCAGTTGATGAAACAAGTTTATAGTGGTGAATATCTATCATGTAGGAGATAGGTCACACAGGTCCTTTCGACGTTTTCAAATCCAACGACCAAAAATTGCTCATAATCCAACATTCGAAGGACGATTATTTCACCAAAAATCACATTTTAACCTTTAACCACTCCTCGTATTCAACCTGATATGACACCGTGCGACTTCGTCCTTTTCGTAAAAATGCATTTGGCCATGAAAGGTAAGCGTTATGCAGACATAGAGGCCATTCAAAAGGCTTGCACCGGCATACTGGCGGCTACACCGGCCAACGCGTTAAAACACTCGTTCGACATGCTTTACATAAAATAAAATAAAATAAACCGATTTTGATTTTTTTTTTTATTCTGTGTTGTTATTTTAAGTCCTCTTTACTTTGGAACGCACCTTGTACAAGAGCTATAATTCTAACAGTACAATGCAACAAGAATAAAAAAAAAATATTAACTATAAGAAAACTATTTGACGCCAACAGAAAAACTGTTTTTATCACAAAGCACAAACAAAAATTTCTCAGAGCAGGTATTAAATATAATCAGAAAATGACATTAATGACGCAATTAAATGAATTCGACCAGATTTTATCTATTTTTCCCCATACCACAAACTATTAATATGTCACATCCTAAAAAATAACGACCAATTATCCAGAGTAAAGTCAGCCGGATGATCTGATATTAGCTATATGGGGGTAAGTCAAGTTTTCGCTCAAATTTATCTATTTTAGGCACAAAGATACACTGTTATGCGTAAACTACAACCACAGGATGGTAAAATTCCAAAGTTTATTTTCAAAATGCTGTTCACCTTAATTAATACAAAATGTATGTACGTAACTTAGTTTTGTAAATGCAACAGTGCCTTTCGTACAGTCATTTTATAAAAAGGATTCCTTTTCAGTCAAGGATACTTACGTTGACAAGCAGACACTCAGCGCGATCATGCACAAAAATGTTATCAAATACAGATACAATTTCTCCATATTGCTATCAGGTACACTGTGACAATTCACTTAATTCTCTCTATTGATTTTAATCTATATGAATTAGCAATTTTGAAGGCCAGAATGTAGGTGGCCAAATGACAATAACGTGTAAGGACCACTCATTTTAAACTAACTACCGGCAGCGACAATAACTATTGCAGCAGAGTTGACGGCGGCAGCAGCCTCTACATTACGCGCCGGTCTCTTTGGCCATTTGTTTGGTTAGCCATCTGCTATTGAAAATAGTTTGTTTGTTTACTGTTATGGTTACCCCTCGCCTCTTGCTATGGGTTATTTGTTTGGTTATTCATTGGTTACCACTGCCTATCATATCGGCTACCTTTTTCCTTGCAAATAAAAAACATGAAATTTTTATTTTATATCTTTTGATTATTTTTTTTTTAAGTTTACACGTTTATACATAACAGCTATATTTTTTCTTTCTATTTTTATAAATTTTCAGAAATTATTTGGGATTAGTTTCGAAATATTACTAATTATATATACATTACAAACTAAATGTTCCTTCTTACAATCAATTTTTTGGCACTATTTATGTATGGCATTAACCATATTATAATTATTTTTTGGTAAAAAGCTTACATAGTTTATATACATATAATTTACGAGTATATTGTTATACTTTGCATAATTTACAATACTAAATACATTAATTTACTAGTTCTTAATACTTACACAATTTGTGCAATGTAAGCTAATTTAACAACATTATTTTAAATTAATTAATTTAGAACTATTAGTATTGAGTAATTTATATATGTATAATAGTAGTAATGATTTGGTCCGGATGAAATAAAAATACATAGAAAAAAATGTTTTATTATTTATTTTTTAAGGTATCCACATTAAATTTTAAAAATGCATACTATAACTGCTTATACTATACTATTTATGTTTGTATCTAATTGTTATAAAAAATTAATGGCTAATATATTTAACATGATATGTTAACGCAGAAGGCACGTTGATGTTATCTACCATTGGTTACCATTGATTTCATGTTAAGAAACGTCAAAAACAATTCCAAAAATCTTTACCTTCCGTAACATTCTGTTTGGTCACCTTAACATTTATTTGGTAATCAAATAATATATTAACATGGGTCACCAAAGTTAAGTTAACCAAACAAAATGTTAAAATTTTAGTTGTTAACATATCCTAACCAAATTCATAAGGAAATTCAATGAATTCTTGCATTAGACTCATCTTTTTATGTAAGATGAACTCTTACAATAATATGTACCAACATACGAAAGGCTTTATAACCAATGTGTTTATTAATCTTACATAATCGCATCGTCATCGTCCACATCGTCACCTTCATCTTATCTTGTTTCACCGGAGTCGGTAACATGCGAACATGGGACACTGGCATAGAAAAATATATTTAAGAATCTACAAATACATACAAAAAAATTAGTGATTACACCTTAGGGAGCTAAACAGTTAATTCTACAAATTTATCTACTTTTTGTCTCGAATGGCTCGAATGGCGCTCCAGCTGGCACTCATCCAAGTAAGATATGCAAATTTCTCCACCAACTTTTATCGATGCTACCGCTTTGAACACATCTACATATGTATGTTGTTTGAATAAAGAATAATCGAATGAGCGTTTAGCGTTTGAGCGTTTGAGCGTAACCATACAACTGTGGTTAATCTAGCTTTGAAGTAGATAAAGTCCAGCAAGGGACTTTATCGCTATGGCCTGACTGTTTGGCCAATCAAAGCCTCCGTGTTGGCGAACTAAGGGCAAAAACTTGAAAATATTTAAAACAATTTTCGAGAAACTTACACTTACAGCAGATAATTGCTCGTCCCCAAATACTACAAAAAGTTGTACCATTTGTGGGTCAAAGTGTTCACCCAACATGTTGTGGTATATTTTTGTTCTGTATACACCACTGTATGCACCATCGACGTTGCGAGTTTTCGAGAGAAAAGTTTTGCGAAAGATTTATGGTCCTTTGCTCGTTGGCCACGGGGAATATCGCATTAGATGGTACGATGAGCAGTACGATATATGTATAAGACGAGATTGGCATATGTAGTTCAACGAATTAAAAGACAGCGGCTATGCTGACTAGGTCTTGTTATCCGAATGGACGAAAACACTCCAGCTCTGAAAGTATTCGACGCTGTACCCCCCGGGGAAAGCAGAGGAAGAGGAAGACCTCCACTCCGCTCGAAGGACCAGGTGGAGAAGGACCTGGCTACGGTTGGAATATCCAATTGGCGCCACGTAGCGAAAAGAAGAAACGATTGGACAAAATGTTCTTTGTTGTTACTTATGGTCTTATGTTGGGAACTTAAAGCAAATTCAATTAAACTTATATAACTCGAAGTTCTCTACAGCTCGAACTCTTGAATTGGCAGTAAAATTTATGTTACATACAAATTTCCTTCCGTAAATATTTTAAATTGGTACGTTATTCTCTAGGTCGCATTTTTTGGAGACATCTTTCTTGGTTAACAGCTGCTCACGTAGAAGTCGTCGTGCGCATTTATCCCTTCAAATGTTACTATTACAGTTCATTTTACGGTGAACAATGAGAATTGCTCTACCGGATTTATGGCAGATGATATTGTAGAACCGAATATTTTAGACCCAACGAATACAAGTAGTAGCGACATGGAAAACGATGAGGATTTTGAAGAAGAAATTATTCAACTCCCATCCAAAAACGATGCTACGTATTCCTTTATATAATTGAATTAATTTAATACAGACCCTCAAATAAGTATAAGATTTAATTAAAAACTCCAAGTGTTCAGAAAATATTGTATTACATCATACGTACATCAATTAGGTGCATAAGTATTTGAATATACTACTCGTATATACATAAGTACTTCTATCATACATATTACATGTAGACATATCAGGCTGGAGTAAAAGGGTTTGGAAAAAAATGTCAATTTTGGTCTTACAAACTTTCTTACTTTTGTACATAAAAAACATTTGGTAAGACGAAATATAAACAACTAGAGGACCCGTCTACGCTTGACTGTGGCTGATACATTGTTAGTACTACTAATACCATCCATATGATTTCTATTATTAAGACTATGGCTATTACTTAATGAGATATAGCAACTTGTGTTAGTTTACAAAAAATATGATCATAAAGCATTGCTTTTTGGGGGAATATACTGCTGAATTTGGGCTCAGGGAAATCCACCGTTGCTAAGCTGGAAACATGCGAAATAAGCACCGAGGACAATGATTCTCTAAAGAGACCAAACCCTTCGCAAGTTCATAATCCAACAAAAACAACGAATAACTAAATCTGAGAAGTGTTTGAGTGCTCTTTAATCGTAATAAAACCGAATTTTTGCATCGGTGTGTGACAATAAAAACATGGCTTCAACATTTCCCACTAGAGTCCAATCGAAAGTCACTCTAGTGGAATGCACATGATGAACCGGTTCTCAGGCATGGAAAGACGACAAAGTCGGCTGGAAAGGATATTACATCAGTCTGTTGGGACGCATGTGGTACAATACATACTCAATGACTGATTACTGAGCCAGTTATAATCTATTTCACTGCGTACTTAGCAATTGTAATATTTTTTAGGAAGACTCTGTTTAGAATTGTACGCATATATTCAAATGATTACTACAAATATGAATCTTGAACATATGCTTATTATTTGAAATATAATCCTTTGTATTTATGAGTTTTATTGTATTTTAACATAAAGGAATGAAAAGTATCCTATGTCTTTACCCTGGTTCTAAGCTACCTCCCCACCAATTTCAGCCAAATCGGTTCAGCCGTTCTTGAGTTATAAATGGTGTAACTAACACAACTTTCTTTTATATATGTATGTATATAGATAATAGAATATTTTAGTAACTCAATATTTGCGAAATAAAATAATTAGTTCCAGTTTCCAACAACGACTTTATGGAGCAAATACAACACCAAGATCCCGAATGTTGCTCTCAAACCTTTCTAGTCAGTAAGAATGAAATTTCTTTCCACATTCACAAATGGACAGATATTCTGTCTTTTCAATACTTTTAGATTTTTGATCGCAACAAATTTGCTTCAAACACACTTTTGTTTATCCTACACAGTTGCATTGTTGTAAAACACTTCTCCTATTAATTGGTCAATAATTTTCCTTAATATAAAAACCAAAAATACCATATTTTCAATAGTATACAATATTTTATTAGGTATCTTCTTTTAATATAAATA